TGGGGCTCCACCCGGCTGGGGTGCCCCGGCCTCCAGGGTCACTGGCTCCCGTGCCCTCCTGTGAGGCCGGAGCGAGTGCTCCCTCCCAGGCTGCCGGGAGGATGTGCTGATGGCTCCGACACAGACAGCGTCCTGATGGGGTAACACCACGTTCCTACAGGCTGGCTGCGCTGGTCTGCTGGGCACGGCGTGTGGTCTGGGGCTCCCGGGGGCAGGTCACACTGGCCCCTAGTCCATCTCAGGGTCCAGGACCCCGAAACCCGACCCCGTGCGAGGACTCGGGGCCTAGGATCTGCCTCCGGGAGGGTCTGAGGTCACAGGCACTGCAGCGCCTTTAAGATCTTAACACCCTGAATGTGAGCAGAGGAAAGCCCTGTTCACGAAGCACCTACTGTGTGCGATCGGCCCACGTGGCATCGAGGACGGAGGCGACCTGGCCACTCCCACGTGTAAGTGTAGAGCCTGGGACCCCGGGGCCTAGCCCTTTTGTTCATGGTCACGACGCTGCTCGAGGCAGAGCCTGGATCTGAACCCCCCTCCCCCAGGCAGAAGGCTCCCCCCACAAAGCAAGAGGGGAAGCGACCAGGAAACCGGGGGGTGACCGCCCACTTGGCTGGGGAACCCCACCCCCCCCTCCCCAGAGGCCCAGGCTGCGGAGAAACCACCGCGTCCACAAGCGTTTATTTAAGGAGGGAAGCATCCAGCCTCCTCCCAATGTCAGCAGCTCGGGCTCATCCCTATCACACTCACTGTCACACACCTACACACACACTACCTCACACACACACTATCACACACACAATCACACTCACTATCTCACACTATCACACTCACTGTCACACACCTACACACACATACTATCACACACAGTCACACACACACACACACACAGTCACACACTATCACACACACACTGTCTCTCACACGCGCGCGCACACACACACGGCCCATGGGCACAGGCCCTCGGGCAGGCACTCTGAGCTCCAGGGTGAGGTCTGGCGACGTGAGCCCCACTGTGAGCGTGCTTTATGGGAAGGCCCCAAAGAGAGGCCCCAAACCTCTGACCCTGCGGGGAGGGCTTGCCCACCACTGAGCCGGCTGGCCACCTCCACGCCAAGGGTGACTGCCCACCCCTTCCACCCGACTGAGACAGGGCCTGGCGTGAGGCCCCCCGGGTCAGAGGAGAGGGCTTCCCTGGCTGGAGGGGGAGGAGCTCCACACAGAACAATGGGCTCTGTCAGTCATTCAACAAACGTTCCCTGAGACTCACTCTGCAAGTCCAGGGTCCCAAAAAACATGCCACAAATATCAACCCTCCGAAACCCCAGGAAGGGTTCCAACAGCAAATCATGTAAGAGACTACAGGACACGCAGGCGACCCACCCAGTTCATCTAGTAATAAAAAAAAATGCACCATTCATCTCTACGAACTCAGCAAGTTTTCTACTATTCAGACAATTCTGAGGCCCTGGGCCGTGCTGCTCAGTGGGTAGAGAATCAGCCTATGCACCTGGATTGCAGGTTCAATCCCCAGCCCCCATCAGGGCATATGCAGGAGGCAAGCACTGATTTGTCTCTCTCACGTCGATGTCTCCCTCTCTCTCTCTCTCTCCCCCCCCTCCCGCCTCCTCCCTCCCTCTACTCTCCAAAAATCAATGGAAAAAATATCCTAGATAAGGATTAACAACAAAAACACGATTCCGAGGAGTCTCAGATGAAACAGACGTACATGCTACCCGAGAAGTCACTCGTGAGAACGCCAGGACCCTAATTCCATCTGTCACACTCGGTCACCATTCGCTCACTTATCAGACGCCGCCTGTGCGCCAGGCCCCATGTAGGTACTGGGGACACTGAACTAGTTAAGGCTGAACCAGGAGAGCAAGGTTCAATTCCCGGTCAGGGCACGTGCCCGGGGTCAGGGCTCAGTCCCCAGTGTGGGGCGTGCAGGGGGCAGCTGATCGGTGATTCTCTCTCATCATTGATGTTTCTATCTCTCTCTCCCTCTCCCTCTCCCTTCCTCTCTGAAATTAATAAAAAAAATATGTATTAAAAAAAAGAAAAACATCTGAGGAGGGAACACTGCAATACCTCCGGCGGAGGAGAGGCCGGCTGAACTACGGTGAGTGCCCGACGGGACATTAAAGGCCAGGAAACAAGTGACACTTATAATAAAGGTTTGTACCCGTGAGGAGGCCATCCACGCTGTCAACGTGAGAGAAACACAGAAGCCCAGCCTCTTACTGCAAATCCCAGGGAAACCTAACGCGTGCAGGGTGCTGGAAATATACCGGCCCCTTTCTCCTTTCTCCGGCATTCTACACACTCCTATGTGCACGATGGAAAAGCAATGAACTTCAAACAGCCACCGCGGCCCCAAGGGGATCAAGGACAAATGGTAGGAGGGAGGCGGGGAGAGTAGGGGGTGCAAGGAGGCCAGGAAAG